TCAACAGCAGCTTCAGCCATGCAGCTGTTTTTCAGTGACTCCAGTTTCTACTAGAAGCTGATCAATAAACCGATTGGCAGAAAAGGAACCTGCACATTGGATCTGATTGGTTTATTTTCAGCAGTTATTCTGTGACTCTCTAAAAATAATAATAAAATGTTACCTCTAAAAGCACAGGCACTAATATTATTTTATAGCCAGACACAGAGAGATTGTCATAAATGATGCTACATATCAAACATGCATCAGTGACTTCAGGGATAAAATGGAGGTTAAGCAGCTCAGAATGAGAAGAATCATCACCTCTGGATGTTCTGATCGATGCTCAGGAGAGTCACAGTTAAAGGCACATCCTGCACTTTTTAAAACTTCCTCCAACTTAAATAAAATATGCTCAGTTCCTCTCCCACTGTATTTCAGACTCATGTTGAACCCAGTCTGAAGAGAAATCTGGAAACCTGCACAGCCAGAAACACACTGTGTGTAAATGGAAATATGTCTGCAAAAATCAAATGCTTTGAAAATCAAAAGTCTTCTTTTATTCCCTGTGATGTTGCAGTGATGCACATCAAGAGGCAGATTATGAGTGAAACTAGTTCCAGGTAAATCTCAAAGACCCAAACAAAACATGCTCTGTATTATGCACAACCTTTAAAACATCTGAGTGTAATTAGTCCAACAACACGCAGCGTCTTTAACATCCAGTGCAGCTTCTGATTCTGGTTCCTCTTCAACCAGTTGAGCTCAGAGACAAACTGCAACATGAGGTTTGAAACAGGAAACATCATCCAGTGGCGTGGAGAAGAGCTCTCACCCTATTGATGACCAACAGGTCAGATTAACGTCATTTTCAACATGTTGGACATTCAGATCCTTCAGATATATGATGTGTTTCTCCAATAATTCATCTCCAACTGATCACTGATGTCAGAGTTCACCAGCCGTCGTCATGGATGAAGATCATTTTAGCAAATTCTGTTGGTCAATAAAATGATTTTTATTTCCAGCACAAAACCATTAATATTGGTTCAAAGCATCAATTGGAAACAGATTGATGTTCCTTCAACATTTCCCTCTTCAAGGTTCACATCGTCTCTTCATTCAAACCTCTTTGGATCCCAAACGGTTCCAGGGAACCGAACAGAACCTGCGGTGACGTCCATCCATTTGGATCAGCTGTTCAGTAGAAGAGATGCACTGGATGTGCAGAATGACAGAAAATCTCTTCTGACATCTGAAGAAATGAATCCAACAGATAAAAACTGAATTTGGCTCCAGATCGTTCAGCAAAGTTCTTCATGCCACAGCAGAACCAACTCATGTCTACAAGAACAGCTTCCAAGCAGGAGCTCAGCTTCTGTCAAGCTCCGCAACAAATCCAAAGGCAAGCAGGAAGTGACTCGGGTGCCTTTCAAAATAAAAGCTTTGGTGCTGAGTTCACAGGAAAACGTTAGATCTGTAGTGAGGGACCTGGATGGAGCTAAACTATAGTTTAGTTTCATGGTTTAGTTTATAGTTTAGTTTTATGGTTTAGTTTTATAGTTTAGTTTCATGGTTTAGTTTATAGTTTAGTTTCATGGTTTAGTTTTATAGTTTAGTTTCATGGTTTAGTTTTATGGTTTAGTTTTAAAGTTTAGTTTCATGGTTTAGTTTATAGTTTAGTTTCATGGTTTAGTTTATAGTTTAGTTTCATGGTTTAGTTTCATGGTTTAGTTTTATAGTTTAGTTTTATGGTTTAGTTTTATAGTTTAGTTTCACGGTTTAGTTTCATGGTTTAGTTTCATGGTTTAGTTTTATAGTTTAGTTTTATGGTTTAGTTTTAAAGTTTAGTTTTATGGTTTAGTTTTAAAGTTTAGTTTCATGGTTTAGTTTATAGTTTAGTTTCATGGTTTAGTTTTATAGTTTAGTTTCATGGTTTAGTTTTATAGTTTAGTTTCATGGTTTAGTTTCATGGTTTAAACTAAACTGTTTCCAATTGAGGTTTAGTTTCATGGTTTAGTTTTATAGTTTAGTTTCATGGTTTAGTTTTATAGTTTAGTTTCATGGTTTAGTTTCATGGTTTAGTTTTATAGTTTAGTTTCATGGTTTAGTTTTATAGTTTAGTTTCATGGTTTAGTTTTATAGTTTAGTTTTCATGGTTTAGTTTATAGTTTAGTTTCATGGTTTAGTTTTATAGTTTAGTTTCATGGTTTAGTTTTATAGTTTAGTTTCATGGTTTAGTTTTATAGTTTAGTTTCATGGTTTAGTTTCATGGTTTAGTTTCTATGGTTTAGTTTCATGGTTTAGTTTCATGGTTTAGTTTTATAGTTTAGTTTCATGGTTTAGTTTATAGTTTAGTTTCATGGTTTAGTTTATAGTTTAGTTTCATGGTTTAGTTTTATAGTTTAGTTTCATGGTTTAGTTTTATAGTTTAGTTTCATGGTTTAGTTTATAGTTTAGTTTCATGGTTTAGTTTCATGGTTTAGTTCTATGGTTTAGTTTCATGGTTTAGTTTCATGGTTTAGTTTTATAGTTTAGTTTCATGGTTTAGTTTTATAGTTTAGTTTTCATGGTTTAGTTTTATAGTTTAGTTTCATGGTTTAGTTTTATAGTTTAGTTTCATGGTTTAGTTTATAGTTTAGTTTCATGGTTAGTTTTATAGTTTAGTTTCATGGTTTAGTTTTATAGTTTAGTTTCATGGTTTAGTTTTATAGTTTAGTTTCATGGTTTAGTTTCATGGTTTAGTTCTATGGTTTAGTTTCATGGTTTGTTTTAGTTTCATGGTTTAGTTTTATAGTTTAGTTTCGTGGTTTAGTTTTATAGTTTAGTTTCATGGTTTAGTTTTATAGTTTAGTTTCATGGTTTAGTTTTATAGTTTAGTTTCATGGTTTAGTTTCATGGATTAGTTTTATAGTTCAGTTTCATGGTTTAGTTTATAGTTTAGTTTCATGGTTTAGTTTATAGTTTAGTTTCATGGTTTAGTTTTATAGTTTAGTTTCATGGTTTAGTTTTAGTTTAGTTTCATGGTTTAGTTTTATAGTTTAGTTTCATGGTTTAGTTTTATGGTTTAGTTTTAAAGTTTAGTTTCATGGTTTAGTTTATAGTTTAGTTTCATGGTTTAGTTTATAGTTTAGTTTCATGGTTTAGTTTCATGGTTTAGTTTTAGTTTAGTTTCATGGTTTAGTTTATAGTTTAGTTTCATGGTTTAGTTTTATGGTTTAGTTTCATGGTTTAGTTTTAAAGTTTAGTTTCATGGTTTAGTTTATAGTTTAGTTTCATGGTTTAGTTTTATAGTTTAGTTTCATGGTTTAGTTTTATAGTTTAGTTTCATGGTTTAGTTTCATGGTTTAAACTAAACTGTTTCCAATTGAGGTTTAGTTTCATGGTTTAGTTTTATAGTTTAGTTTCATGGTTTAGTTTTATAGTTTAGTTTCATGGTTTAGTTTCATGGTTTAGTTCTATGGTTTAGTTTCATGGTTTAGTTTCATGGTTTAGTTTTATAGTTTAGTTTCATGGTTTAGTTTTATAGTTTAGTTTCATGGTTTAGTTTCATGGTTTAGTTTTATAGTTTAGTTTCATGGTTTAGTTTTATAGTTTAGTTTCATGGTTTAGTTTTATAGTTTAGTTTCGTGGTTTAGTTTTATAGTTTAGTTTCATGGTTTAGTTTTATAGTTTAGTTTTATGGTTTAGTTTTATAGTTTAGTTTCATGGTTTAGTTTTATAGTTTAGTTTCATGGTTTAGTTTTATAGTTTAGTTTCATGGTTTAGTTTTATAGTTTAGTTTCATGGTTTAGTTTTTATAGTTTAGTTTCATGGTTTAGTTTTATAGTTTAGTTTCATGGTTTAGTTTTATAGTTTAGTTTCATGGTTTAGTTTCATGGTTTAGTTCTATGGTTTAGTTTCATGGTTTAGTTTCATGGTTTAGTTTTATAGTTTAGTTTCATGGTTTAGTTTTATAGTTTAGTTTCATGGTTTAGTTTCATGGTTTAGTTTTATAGTTTAGTTTCATGGTTTAGTTTTATAGTTTAGTTTCATGGTTTAGTTTTATAGTTTAGTTTCGTGGTTTAGTTTTATAGTTTAGTTTCATGGTTTAGTTTTATAGTTTAGTTTTATGGTTTAGTTTTATAGTTTAGTTTCATGGTTTAGTTTTATAGTTTAGTTTCATGGTTTAGTTTTATAGTTTAGTTTCATGGTTTAGTTTTATAGTTTAGTTTCATGGTTTAGTTTTAGTTTAGTTTCACTGATGTGAAAAAGTACAACAGTTTTACTCGGTGGCCATTAACTCAAAACGTCCCAGGCAGCAGTGAATTGTGGGTAATACACTTCACCAGAGAGGAGGCTTAGCCAAAGTATGGATCCAAGATGCAAAGGGGTCGGATCTAACGACCACTCAGCAGAACCGGGTCAGAACCTGGTAGACGGGACCGACCAGAACAGGAAGTTGGTTTTAATTTGAAGGGCTGAAGAGGAGAGCAGGGCGAGTTAATATTATTTATGAATATGTAATATGGTGAATGAAGTAACAACTTCCTGCTTTGCTGACAAAATGTCATCAGATCAAAACTTTAATCTATTGGTAGAAATATAAAGTAGATTCATATTTAATTAAATCCTTTGATTTTGTTTCATATTCAACTGTTTAAGATGAAAACGGAAACGAGTCAACTCCAATATTTGAGGGCTTTTACTTTGAAATCTGCAGCAGGAAGTAGGTTTCTGTCGTTGGCTGCAGCTTCACTCCGGTCATGCCCGCCGAGCGGTGAGGATTACCGTGCGGGAGAAGCGCCTGCAAGGACCGAGGACCGGGACCGGACCGGACCGGACCGAGCCTAACTGGACCGCTGCACGACAGGAGGACCGGGGGACATGTCCACTGGGACGTCATCTGGTTTTCTATAAAGGCGCAGGAAGCAGAGGTTCTGACAGGATCAGCCTCGGAGGAGGAGAGAAGATCCAGAACCGGCTCCCTGAACACGTTCACTCCAAAAAGAGTCAAAACAGGAGAATCACTGGTGGATTCACTGGTGGATTTCCGTGACTAATTAATAAGCAGCTCATTCTGTCCGGTCCAGTGGAATAATGTGATTTATTACCATCACCTGGAATCATGTCTCCTGCTGGAAATATCCCACTTTCACCTGGACGAGGCTGAGAGAAGAAGAAGAACAAGAAGAACTGAAAGAGGGAAGAAACGAAGCTGGAGGTTCGGAGAATCTGCACTTCTGGTGTCGGATGGTTTTTCTCTCGCTGCGGGGATGGAGGGATGAATCCGGGAGAGAAGAGGACGAGGAAGAGCGAGAAGGAGAGAGGAGGATGTAGGTGCTGGACGCGCCCAGTGGAGGAACCGGAGGAATTTATACCTGGAGGATTTTTACCTCGGAAAGATTTTATTCTCTGGAGCCTCTGAGGAGAAACAGCAGGATGGGATTAGGAGGAATAACTGAATAAACACCAGGAGAGAAGAGGAGAGGAGAGGAGAGAGGTAGATCGATCTATCTATCTATCTATCTATCTATCTATCTATCTATCTATCTATCTATCTATCTATCTATCTATCTATCTATCTATCTATCTATCTATCTATCTATCTCCAATATTTATTGATTCTTCATTGAGTTTGGATGCAGATGCCGGGCGGGTGTTTAATATAGATATAGATATAGATATAGATATATCTTTGCAAGGTCAGGACTGTCTGCTGCTTCCGGCTCACTGTCAGCTTCAGTGTGCGCGTGCATGTGCGCGCGCCGTGGTTGGGAGTGCGCGCTGCGCTGCGGCTCCAGCTGTCCAGGTTGTGCTGCGGTTTGTCAAAGTGCACAAACGCAAAAACTACACGCCCCTCTTCCCCCTCCGCTGCGCCTCTGTTTGCGCCTGCAGGCTGCGGCTACGTGGCGGGAAAGCCGCAAACCTTTCTGACTGCACGGAGGTTTGCGCAGCCAGAAAGGTTCCGCAAACCAGCACAGACAACTGTGTTGTCGACGTCATGTAGCTCTTGTAAATGAGGAGTGTGTGTGTGTCTCTGTGTGTGTGTGTGTGTGTGTGTGTGTGTGTGGGTGTGTGGGTGTGTGTGTGTGTGTGTGTGTATCTCTGTGTGTGTGTGTGTGTGTCTCTCTGTGTGTGTGTGTGTGTGTCTCTGTGTGTGTGTGTGTGTGTGTCTGTGTGTGTGTGTGTGTGTGTGTGTGTGTGTGTGTGTGTGTGTGTGTGTGTGTGTGTGTGTGTCTCGGCTTGGTGCACATTCAGCTGGACTCAGATGTTCTTGCGCATCATTTAGATGATAAATTGCAGTAAATCCAAACTGTCTTTGGTTTTTTATCCTCATATTTTCACGAGCCTCAGAATTTGCTCAGCTCTCACCTGGTTTATGTAAGTTGGAGCAGAAACAGAAAGATGATGCGTTCAGAGCTTTGCAGGCAGGTTGTGTGTGAAACACTTTGCCTGCTGCTGGATCAGTTCATGTTTGTCTAATTCTACACATTTTCCCTCCAAGTCAGACAGAAATAGAGAAGCTCAGATATTTTATTCTGTTCTTCTTCTTCCTTTCAGGCTCCAAAGCCGTAGAACCAGAACCATCAGTGATAGAACCTTGCACTGCTAAAGGAACACTTTGTTTTGTAGATATTTACTGTGGAAACCTGAACTGTGGACACTGGTCTTGGTAAGGAAATGATCCCACAGAGGATTTATTTCATTGTTTCATTTTAATGTACAGCACACCAATAAAAACAATCATTTTATCCAACCTCTGAAAAGTCTTTAACTGGAACATCTGCAGACATCTGGAAAGTCTTTTCCTGTCTGTCCCCAGGCTCCATCGCTGCTGTGTTGGAATTTCACCGTTTTCACCGGAACAGTAGTTTGCACTGATTGATCAAGGCAATAAATTTGTGCACACGAGTCCCTCATGCTGTTGCTAATGGCCTGTGAATATGGCGGCATTATGCAAATGCATCCTGTGCTCTAGAAACTGAACGAGAAGCTGGTGATTTTAGTTGTGTTCATCGTCTCATACTTACTGCCTTAATGTCATCAGGTTAGGAGTGACTGTCAGTGGATTCCAGCTTCAGATCTCAGATAGAAGAGCTAACAGGCTCCAGCAGCAGCTCTTCATGCTCTGGTCAGAAATATGATTTGTTTTTTTTTTCTTTGTGTTCGTTCAGGCTACGAATTAAATGCGACTGCAATCAATCTTCTGTATGAACGGTTTTCAGTTCCAAAGTGATCCGCAGAACAAGTAGCTGCAGCGATCTCTACACCAGAAAAGATGGCCGCCGCACCGATCTGAACAGCTGTAAATATGGCCGCCGCACTGATCTGAACACAGCTGTAAATATGGCCGCCGCACTGATCTTAAAACAGCTGTAAATATGGCCGCCGCACTGATCTTAAAACAGCTGTAAATATGGCCGCCGCACTGATCTTAAAACAGCTGTAAATATGGCCGCCGCACTGATCTTAAAACAGCTGTAAATATGGCCGCCGGTGTCTCTGAGTGGAAGTTAAAGTTTCTCAGAGTGACCACACGGTCAGCAGACGAGGAAGATCATTAAAAGCTAAGAGCTAACAGCAACGTTGGAGCACTGACTGCAGCTTCTGACCCGGTTCTGACCCGGTTCTAATCCGGTTCTGACCTGGTTCTGACCCGGTTCTGTTTGGACGTGGAATCGGACCAGGTGTGGTGGGGTTGGGATGTGATGCGTTCACTGACTCAGACTGATTTCACCACTTCATTATTATCACTTGCATCGTTTTGGTCCAGATCCACTATCCGGGTTCTTCTGCTGCTGAACTGTGACGCATGTTGGATAAATGCGATGCGTCCCTTCAGACTGCAGTGGCTTTGGAAACTATCAGATATAATTTAGTTCACATATGGATGCAGCTCAATGGGGTTTGGATCGGAACCGGGCCGATCAGTGGTGAAAAAGTTGACTTGATGTTGGACAATCAAACAGAAATCAAACAAAATGTTCATTTCTTTTCCACCACATTTCAAGATGTGGCCTGAGCTTTTGGTTTGTTTTTAACAGTGAACATCAAGATATGTTTGGGAGATAGACGCAGACGGAGCGGCTCTTCAGCTCACACTCGCCTCGCTTCGCAGGAGAAATGGTTTCTCTCAGAAGAGAAATCATAAACTCTGACGCCTCCATCTTGTTTCATCTGGTGAAGAAGGAAGTTACTCTCAGCATCTTCAGGGGAGATGCTGAGAGCATCTCCCCTTCAACACACCAATAGAAATGAACGGATTTCTCACATTTAAAGAATAAACAGGAATAAAAATGTCAAGACAGTTTTAACAATCCTCCCTATGAAAAATCAGATTTTGGGAGAAAAGCTGCCGGAGATGTTCGGGAGTTATCCACACAGTTATTTTTATTGTTTCCAGCTTGTTAGTGATGTTGGAAATATGGTCAAATGTTTTTCTGCAATGTCAGTTTGAGTCACAAGAGGAAACTTGATAACTTCTAACTTAAAATGTAACAATTTGCCAGCACTGGTGCTATTACAATGACTTTATGTCATTACAATGACATAATACTGTCAGAGAGTTCATCTATTTTTTATAATTAGAGCCAGTAGAGAAGAATTAACATAGAAGCAGAAATTGTTTGATTTGTTTCTTAGAAATGGAAACTAAAGTTTTCCACACTAAAGGTTCTATAATCCTGCAGAAGGTCCGACGCTCTCCTCTGGTCCGGTGATCTGGTTTTCCAGAACGTTCCTATAAAACCTCCCTGCAGTGAAATCATCTGAGCTGCTCTGCTTCCAAAAGATGAACAGAAAACAAGTTTTTATTTTAATAAAATGAAAGAACATTGTGGAAAGTGATCTGGCATCTGAAATCTCCCAGAAATATTCGGAGATTATTGCTAAAGTTTTGTCAGATATTATTGTAAATAAAAATCCAAAAGCCACAAATTAGGATGTTTTCCTTTTTATGACTTATTAATTAATCCACTTTAAAGGCATATTCTAGGAAACCCACTGCTGCAGGTTCAAGTCTTACAAATCAATGAGATTCAGATGAATGTTGTTGTTATGTTAAACTAGTGAACCCAGATCGTGTTGGTGCCATCAAGTTACTCTAAATAAGTAGCTTAGTGTGGCTGAGGCAGGATTAGTCGCTGGCTGACTGAACTAGTTGGGATCATGACTGAATCTGTAATTAAAGCCAACAGATTTTCTTCCTGTTGCTGCTGAATCGTCTCAGAAACTCAACGAAGGTTCATTTAAATTGGACCTGAAAGATCCTCGATTCACAGCCCTGGATGGAGGAGGAAGCTCTGACAGCGCACGCGTGTGTGTGTGTGTGTTTCTCTGTGTGTGTGTTTTCTGTGTGTGTGTGTGTGTGTTTCTGTGTGTGTGTGTGTGGGTGTGTGTGTTTCTGTGTGTGTGTGTGTGTGTGTGCATGTGTGTTTCTGTGTGTGTGTGTGTGTGTGTGTGTGTGTGTGTGTGTGTGTGTGTGTGTGTGTGTGTGCAGGGAGGAGTGTGTGACATGACAGATGTAAGACATGTTGGGTGATAATGATCTCTGCTCAGCAGATAAGAAATGTGTGAATGTGACATTTGGCTTCATGCCGACAATAACTTCCATCTGTTGCTGTTTCTTATCCTGGTTCTTGATGCTCCGGTCTGGTTCTGGTACCGGGTCCAACTGGACTTGACTTGCAGGTTGTCACCTGATGGCTGCAGCTTCACCTGCAGGACAGTTTGCTGGTGGTTGATGTTCTGTTGGGTGTTTCTGTCGGGCTCCTGGGAGGGAAAGGTTCTCGCTGTGGTTCTCGCTGTGGTTCTCGTGTGGTTCTCGTGTGGTTCTCGTGTGGTTCTCACTGCGGTTCTCGCTGTGGTTCTCACTGTGGTTCTCGTGTGGTTCTCACTTTGGTTCTCACTGCGGTTCTCGCTGTGGTTCTCGTGTGGTTCTCGTGTGGTTCACTGCGGTTCTCGCTGTGGTTCTCACTGTGGTTCTCGTGTGGTTCTCGTGTGGTTCTCACTGCGGTTCTCGCTGTGGTTCTCGTGTGGTTCTCGTGTGGTTCTCACTGCGGTTCTCGCTGTGGTTCTCACTGTGGTTCTCGTGTGGTTCTCGCTGTGGTTCTCACTGTGGTTCTCACTGTGGTTCTCGCTGTGGTTCTCGCTGTGGTTCTCACTGTGGTTCTCACTGTGGTTCTCGCTGTGGTTCTCACTGCGGTTCTCTCTGTGGTTCTCACTGCGGTTCTCGCTGTGGTTCTCGCTGTGGTTCTCACTGTGGTTCTCGCTGTGGTTCTCACTGCGGTTCTCTCTGTGGTTCTCGTGTGGTTCTCTCTGTGGTTCTCACTGTGGTTCTCGTTGCAGTTCTCACTGCGGTTCTCGCTGTGGTTCTTGCTGCAATTGTTGCTGCGGTTCTCATGTGGTTCTCACTGCGGTTCTCGCTGTGGTTCTCACCGCGGTTCTCTCTGTGGTTCTCGTGTGGTTCTCTCTGTGGTTCTCGTTGCGGTTCTCGTGTGG